TTTCCAAAGAAGACAGACAGATGGCCAACAGACACATGAAAAGATCCTCAACATCACTGATCATTGAAGAAATGCAAATTAAAACCACAATAACATAATCACCTCACACTCATTAGGATGGCTATTATCAAAAACAAAACAGAAAACAGCAAGTGTTGGTGAGGATGTGGAGACATTGGAAACTTTGTGCACTAATAGCCTAAAAAAAATAAAATATTTAGGAATATATTTAACCAAGAAAGCGTATGATTTGTATACTGAAAACTGCAAAACATTAAAAGAAATTAAGAAGGCCTAAATAGGGGGCACCTGGGTGGCTCAGTCAGTTAAGTGTCTGACTTCAGCTCAGGTCATAATCTCAGGGTCCTGGGATCAAGCCCCACAGCAGGGTTTCCTGCTCAGTGGGGAGTCTGCTTGTCCTCCCTCTGCCCCTTCCCCTACTCATGCTTGCTCACTCTGTCTCTCTCAAATAAATAAAATCTTAAAAAAAGAAAAAGGCCTAAGTAAATTGGAAGACATCCCATGTTCGTGGATTAGAGACTTAATATTGTGAAGATGGCAGGCCTACCCAAATTGTTCTTCAGATTCAGTGATAACCCTAGCCAGCATTCTAACTGCCATTCCCACATAAATTGACAAGCTGATCTAAAAGTCGTAGAAATCCAAGGGACCTGATACAGTCGAAACAATCTTGAAAAAGAACAACAAAGTTGGAGGACTCAAAGTCCCAATTTCAAAACTTGCTTCAATGCTACAGTAGTCAGGACAGTATGATACTGGTAAAAGGGTAGAGACATATATATCAGTGAAAAGAATTGAGGGAGAGAAATAAACCTATTTTTTTTTGACATGGTGGCCAAGATAATTCAAGGGGAAAAAAGTCTTTTCAACAAATGGTGCTGGAATAATTGAATATCCACATGCAAGAAATGAGGTTGGATCCCTACCTCATGCTATATATATGAAAATATAGCTAAATGTAACAGCTAAAACTGTAATACTCTTAGGAGAAACATAGGGATAAAATTTTAAGACCTTGGATTTGGAAGTGGATTCTTAAAAATGATACCATCAGCACAAGCATAAAAAAAAATAGGTAAGGGTGCCTGGGTGGCTCAGTTGGTTAAGCGACTGCCTTCGGCTCAGGTCATGATCCCGGAGTCTCGGGATCGAGTCCCACATCAGGCTCCTTGCTCAGCAGGGAGTCTGCTTCTCCCTCTGACCCTCTTCCCTCTCCTGCTCTCTATCTCTCATTCTCTCCCTCTCAAATAAATAAAATCTTTAAAAAAAAAAAACAGGTAAGTTAGATTTTATCAAAATTAAAAACTTTTGTACATCAAAGAACACTACCAAGAAAGTGAAAAGACGACACACAGAATGGGAGAACATATTTGCAAATCACACATCTGGTAAACCTTTAGTATTTAGATGATATAAAGAACTCATACAAATGAACAAAAAGATAACTCATTTTAATTTTTTTTTTAAGATTTAATTTATTTATTTGACAGACAAGAGATAGCGAGAGCAGGAACACAAGCAGGGGGAGTGGGAGAGGGAGCCCAACGAGGGGCTCGATCCCAGGACCCTGGGATCATGACCTGAGCCGAAAGCAGACGCTTAACGACTGAGCCACCCAGGCGCCCCGATAACTCATTTTTTAAAGTGGGCAAAAGATTTGAATAGACATTACTCCAAAGAAGATTAAAAATGGGTGGGGCGCCTGGGTGGCTCAGTCAGTTAAGCGTCTGCCTTTGGCTCAGGTCATGATCCCAGGGTCCTGGGATCGAGCCCTGCATCGGGCTCTCTGCTCAGCAGGGAGTCTGCTTCTCCCTCTCCCTCTGCCCCTGCTCTCTTGGGCTTGCTCTTTCTAATAAATATATTTTTTTAAAAAAAAGATAAAAAATGGCCAATGAACACATGAAAAGATGCTAAACATCATTAGTCATTAGGACTATGCAAATCAAAATCACATGACCTACCACTTCACACCCAGTAGGATGCCTTTAATATTTTTTTCAAAAAGGAAAATAATTTAGGATAGTGTATAATAGACTATAAGCTAGAATCAAATACTGATACATGCTACAACATGAACCTTGAAAACATTATGCCAAGTGAAAGAAGCCAGACACAAAGGTCACACATATTGTATGATTCCTTTTCTATGAAAGGTCCAAAATAGGCAGTCCAAAGACACAGGAGGTAGACTGGCTTTTGTCAGGTCTAGGGATAAGGAAGAAGTAGTGACTGCTAATTGAGTAAGTTTCTCAGTGGGGTAATGAAATGCCCTGGAATTAGATAATGGTATTGGCTGCACAACCTCATGAACATATTAAATATTACTGAATCATATACTTTAAATGGTGACTTTTATGGTATTTGAATCAATTTAAAGAAAAAATTCAAGCTCAACAGTTGGCTCTAGCTGGTGAAGGTACTAGCCATACAATTCGAAAGATGAGAGGAAAAACACTGTTGGGGATTTGGATTTAAAAAACAAACGGGGGTGCCCGAGTGGTTCAGTCAGTTTAAGTGTCTGCCTTTGGCTCAGGTCATATCAGGGTCCTGGGATCAAGCCCCGCATCAGGCTCTCCCCTGCTCAGTGGGGAACTTGCTTCTCCCCGCTCCCTGGGCCCCTTCCCCCCACTCCTGTGCACACTCTCTCTCAAATAAAACCTTTTAGAAAAAATTTAAAAAAAAAACTCAATCATTATAACAAGAACTAGAATTTGTTGAATTGTATCCTACAACTGGAAAACTGTGTAACCCATAATATTGACCACTAGCTGATTTCAGATCTAGTCTCTTAACTCTGCTAAAACAAAGGCATAAAGAGTAAAAATGTTTCTAGGGTAACCACCTTAGAAGCAGAAAGAGCCTTTTTTAACTCTTCCTCTCCTAGCCTGAGTTTGAAGGAACAGGTTAGAAGGCAAGGAAAGGTAACATTCTGGAAACACAAATCTTTTTCCATATAATATTTCTTCATTTTAGGCAGGGGAGCCTAAAATGTTGATCCCACCGGAGCAACTGACAAGGCCTGGGCTATACACCTACTGTCCCAGGCAGCAGTCTCCCCTTAACCCCCTGCATGTAGTACAAATGTTTCCATTTTCTGTGTGTGTTATGAAATGAAATGGCAGGAAAGGAGCACTGCTCTTAGGATCATCTCTTTAAGTGTCCCCCCACCATCCTCGTCATCTCTGCTGAGCGCTTAATTGTCATTGCCTCCCTTAAAACATGTTGATTACTTTTCAGAGACCTGTATAGCAAGTCCAGGGTGTACCTAGCTAGGAAACAGCGGGGTTATTGGTAATAATTGTAGAATGTTCCTATAGAGAGAAAATGCATAATTGTTATATTGTCATTTTCTAAGTACTCACAAATCAAATATTAATTCAGACCAGAATTTTGCTAGAGATTGTCAAACTTTATTGAATTATAAATTCCAGAAACAAGCTTTTGCCTAGTTTTTAAAATCCCTTAACTCTTCTGACAGCTCTATACTTACTAACAATTTCTGAAAAGTTATGAGTAGTGATGCCATGGTCATTTCTATAGGTTCTTTTAAATACCTGAGATTTCTCTGCAGATGAGAATACATTTAAAGGGTCTTCCAGTACCCGCACATTATACTCCTACTTAACTGGGACCAAGAAAATGTGCTAAACATTCTCTATAAGATGTTCGGAACAAGAAAGTAGACAGGAAACCTTGGGGTAGTTGAGATGATGTGAGTAGATAACAAGGAAGATCTGTATGAGTATTTATCCCTTTGTTTCCATGCTGTCTAGACTATCAGTCTTACCTTTTGAAATGGCCTGAGTATGTTTTGCTTTAGATGTAACTTTTGACTTCTGTTTTCTTTTAATGGATACTTTACCATCTGAATTGTGACCAGGTATCATTTGTAAATTTGTTTCTGTTGGTCTTTGCTAGGAAATATATTTTGCTAGGAACACATTTGCTAGGAATAGATACTAACTGGATGGTTTTTTGTGTTTTTTTTGTTTTTTTTTAAAGAGAGAGAGCACGCATGTGTTGGCGGGGAGGGGCAAAGGGGGAGAGGGAGAGCAAGAATCTTAAGCAGACTCCAAGCCCAGTGTGGAGCCCGAGGTGGGGCTCAGTCTCACAACCCTAAGATCATGACCTGAACCTAAATAAAGAATCAGACACTTAACAGACTGAGCTACCCAGGCGCCCCATGGATGGCTCTACTTTTGACTTAGTGAATTTAAGAACGATTCTGCTTCCTGACCTAATATCCTGTACATGTAAGTAGAAGTAATACTTTATATCTTTAAAAGATTCGATTGCTGGTTTTTGTTTTACTATTGATAACTTTTAAGGTTTGGAGATGTAATTTTGTTTCACAAATTGGTTCATGTTTATCATGTCTACAAACCTCATTTTGATTCATTTTCAGTTTGAGCGTGCATTCTGGATTGGTTCTTACATTTTAGTGATGTTCGTGCTTAAAGAGAGAATTAGTACTACTAATAAAATAAGAAAAATCAAGACACATAGAGCATTGTTTTTCCAGTAAAGTACTGCCACAGCCCATCAGACACCTAACTTTTAGTTGTAGGGGGTCTTGTGGCCCAACTGGCCTCTGCTGAACCCTGGGACTCCTTAGAGCCCCATTTGAAATCACCGCTTTTTTAAAAAATATCCCTAATACTTTCAGAAGCAACATTATATAATATTTTATATGCTTCTTGTGACCCTTATTTTTGATTAAACTCAATGTGTTGTTAACCAAACTATCTAAAGGTATGCAGATTATCGATTGCCCAGGATTTTCCTCATACATTCTTGAAGAATATCATGTAAGTATCTAAGAATTAGGACTATTTTTACTCACTTGTACTAAGGAGTTATAATTTGAAATGTTTTCAGAAAATATTTTGAAAATACTTAAAATTATAGTGGAAGTGACACCTGTGGTTTCATTAAAAGTAAGGTAGACTATTTTAATTAGTAATCTTTGTTTCCTTTAGGGTTTAATGAAGAAATTCATTCGATGTTCTACACGTGTAACTGTGGGAACTATTAAAAAATTTTTAAGTTTAAAACTAAAACTTCCAAGTTCTTATGAGGTAAGTTAATAATCTAACCTTGATCATGTTGATAATTCTGATCTGAAGTAAAATTCTAACAGAAGTAAAAATTAACAGAAAGTACATTTAATTTTTGTGGAAACTTAGGTTATTTTTATATGTTAAAAATTCAGAGAATGTACTATTCTATTTATGTAATCTGTATTTTTTAATTTAACATCTGACTAAAACATGCTACTAATGCATTTAGTGGTTTACAACTAGAAGAGATACTTAAACAAATTTTCCCAAAATAAATGCTACAGCTAACTAGATTTTTTTTAATGCCACCATTAGGGTCCTTTTTTTGTTTTGTTTCTTAAATGAGACCTTTGAGATCCATTTTTACTTTTATAGACTTCTTTTTCAGAATGTAAAACATTGTCTTTTTATGTAAAAAGATTTTGTAAATAATGTTCCTTTAATTGTGTCATATGCAAAAGTGATAGTTTAGCAGTAGGTAAAACCAACATAATTGCATCTGCATAAATGCAATTTACCAGTTTCCTAACGGAGAGATAAATTGTCCCCATGTTAATCACAGCACAACTTGTAATGTGTTCAATGTTTAGAGAATGTTTATGATCCTAGGAGTGTAGATACAATGTAATGAGGAGACATGGCTACCATTTCTCACCTGCCCAAATGGCAGTCTTAACGTGCATTAATTTCTCTTCCTCCCCTTTGGGTTCTGATAGTAGTAGCTTCTGAAGAAACAAAAGACTGAGACTAGTTTCCTATATAAACAAAGACATCAAAGGCAACATTAGTTCTTCATTATATACACTAATATTAATATGAACAGTTTATCGTAGCAGAAATAAAATAGGATTTGAACATAGGCATTGACAGGTATTAAGTATGTATTTTGAGGAAGTCTCTGATCCTAAGTTTATTTAAAAACTCTCAGATAACTAATAATCCATGGATTAAAAATTCTTACTGTAGTTTGGTCCTACAAATAGTAAAACATTTCCAGAGACATCAACTTTTACATTAGGGAAAAAGTTGTGAAAGTTAATCAGAGCCCTATGTACTTGGTAAAGTAAAAGATGACAACTTAGATACAACAGTGAAAATAGAAAATGAAATTGTTTTTATGATTTGGTTTTATACTTATTCTTACAAAATACCACATGCAGTTTTATTTCCTTACTTTTAAGTGTGACCCATTGAGTTACTTTCTAGTTTCCAGGAAGTTGTTAGAGCTGAGAGGACGATTTCTCTCACACATTCTCACTGCTGGCACACGGTGTCTCTCCCCACAGACGAGGACAGCAGAGCAGGAGACTCTGTCCACTGACAGCTCCTCATCTCTACCCGTGTAAAGGACTTGTCCTGTGATTTTTAGTAACATTTACTGGTCCCCCCCGCTTATTTTGCTGTCTTAACACATAGGGTGATGTTTTAATGAAATACCTAACAGCTGAAGCTTTTGCAACAGCATTGCTAATTGGGGCAAGATAGTTTAGGTTTTAAATGACAACAGAAGCAGTGTACCTAACCAGGGATTGCATCCTGAATCTCTTTACTTCTTTGCTTATGAATTTATTTTACAGGCAAGATTTAAAAAAAATATATATAGATATCTACTTGGTCCTTTTAAAAACATTTTGAGGTCGATGCAAGTCAACATAAATCATCAAAATATCAATATAACTCAGCTAAAAATTTGTCTACTACAATTGGAACAGTACTCATTTTAGACTTAAAGTTCAAAACTCTAGTCTCTAACCAGACAGAATTATTTAAAACCCATTTTTCTTTGCCTTCCCACACTTTAAATTAAACTCAGTTTGCCTTTAATAGCTAGAGAACTGAAATGCTTTATTTATAGGGACTTATGATAAACATTTAACTGTGCTTTGTTGAATTGGTAAATCATAGCCACAGTTCCTGGGGCCTTCTTAAGGATTTGGGGGGTTGTTTGGTTCCTGCAACTCTAGAGCAAAAGTGAGCTTTGGAAAGCACATCCCTTTTTTGAAGTTCGATGCAAGATGAGAAGAGGGTCCTATAAGTATTACGCAAGTTACCACCCAAGCAAAACAGGCCAGAGAGGCCTAGAAGATACAGGCCTGTGGCGTGGTCCTAACTGTTCTGTTGACTTAGCTACAGGCAATTACCGGAAATTCTCAAATGCCTTGAAGTCCCCATAAATCTTGTATCCACATTGATTCCTTTACCGTCTTTGAATACAAACTAATGAGAGGAAAGCAAGTCCTCTCAATCTTGAGAAGGTGAAAGCATTCTGAGAGGGGAATTCATAAGCCAAAGGTGCTGTGAGGTCTCCACAGTTACTTCTCTTTTTGTAAGAGACAGTCACAGAAATATGTCTAAACTAAGGTTACACAGAGACGTGGACTGAGAAAGCTTACACTGCATTTCAATATTATGTGTACAGACTTGAGTTGGGACAAGACCAGCACTGCTTCATGTTACTTATATCTGAATTGTTAATAATTATGAGATGGACCAGTGCTCTTAATAAAAATATTCAGTGTTCTTTTTAAATAATGGTTAATACTTCTATTTTGTTATAACTATTTGAATCTTTTTTGAAATTTAGGAAAAAAGTCTAAGACACTAATGAATTAAAAATTACTTAAGTTAATGGATCTGTAACTATTCTTTTTAAAGTTGGATGTGCTGTGCAATGGTGAAATTATGGGGAAGGATCACACTATGGAATTCATCTACATGACGAGATGGCGACTAAGAGGCGAAAACGTAAATTGCTTTTATATTTACCTATGTGTATGTTTTAGTTATATGCCATTTTGCTACTCATAATAAACAGTATATTACTTAGAAACAAAAAAAACTAACTTGGGAAAGAGAAGAAACTGATTCCTTTTACTGTTTATCCCAGCTACTCCATGATAATTGGTCCTAAGTACAAGACCAAGATCTTTGTTAAATGTGGTTTTGTTATATTTAAGGTGAGTTAAAAACCCCATCTAAATATGTTCAGAACTCTGCTTACCTCAATACAGAGAAGATGGCACTTACATTTTTTAAAACCCCGGTAAAATATGGGAACTTCTAACTATATGGAGTCAAGTGAGGAGACTAAGTTTTGCCCTGATTAGTATGTTGTTTAATGGTTGATATTTTTTGGTTGTGGCAGAGGGGACAGATAGAGTAGAATCTAGGTGATCTTTTTTTCAGGTACCTCCTTTACATGAAAGTGTAAAATTGGACCAAAGGGTAAGTGAGTTTGCAGTGGTTTCTGATGTCAGAATTAGATTGTTGGGGCTTAGGCCCTAGGCAATATGAGAGAAATGATGTAAAAGGAGAAAACCTGAGAAAAATCCAAAACACCCAAAAGGAGAATTCTGTATTTTGAACTATACCTTTGCTTAGGGTTAATTAGAAGGTTCAAGCACATCTTATCTGTATTATGTATAACATTGATAGTAGAGAAATCCGAGGGCTAGGGATTATAAGGCTTGATGTATATCAGTGAGGGAATGTAGTAGTAATGCTACCAGAAATTCTCTTTATAATCTGATTACATGAATACACATTAATTGAGATTGACTGGAAGGTTGTACTAGATGACTTCCAAGGTCTTCTCAGACAACTTCCAAGGTCTTCTCAGACATTAAGATTCTATGGTGTTTATGGTACAATATGTCATACTTCTAAACTCTGCATAATTTTAATCTAATAAGGTAGGTTATGTTACATTTTCTTACGAAAATATAAACTATTAAAAATACAAAATTAAGAAATGTAACCTCACTCAAAGACAAGTAATACAGAATCTGAATAATGAGGGTTGCCATGTTACAGTGGTTCAAAAACATGGAATGTAAACATCTATGGAATTGTTATAAAACCTCAAAAAATCATTTTTGTGTGTTGTATTCAATGAGTAGGAAAATTGGCTGTTTTTCAGAAATGTCTTGATATAAATGAAGCATCTAACTTCTAAAGTCAGAATTTTTTTTTTCTGAGTCCCACTTGGGTAAAGCCTTCCTTGTGAGGCCGAATTCTCATGACCAGGAAGAAAAAATTATGTTCTAGTACCAGTCACCCGCTTGTCGTGTGCCCTGGAAGAACTCAGACCTCTCTAAGCCTTATTTAAAAAAAAGAAAGAAAGAAAGGAAAACAAATCTAATTATCTTTGTATTTGGTAAATTACTACCTGCCTTCCTAGGACATTTTATAGTTTTTTAAAATGGTTCTACATACATCACCCTCATTGAATCCTTCCAACCAAAATGTTTCAGGTACCAGGTGCAGATTACAGAGCTAGTCAGTTTTCCCTTACCCAGCACAGTTGGGGCCTAGATATTGTGGTATTACATATAATATCATAATATAATTTTAGCTTTCTTTGGTAAGTCATTGGCCATTTTATTATGTGTTAATGATTTTCAAGTGCTGTGAACAGGTTTGCCTTAAGGTTGAAGAGATGTAAAAAGTCATCCACCGTAAGACCTTGGCTAGCACTCACTTGTCCTTCTGACAGCCCCTTCCCAGAGGTCTCGCCCACACTGCCAGTTTTAAGTCAAAGCATGAAAGAGCTGATTTGAAGACTTTGTTGTTGACTATCAGTTAAATCAGTCTTTATTACAATTATATTTCTGGTTACACATATCTGATAGTTTAAATTCCTATGTTGTTTAAGGCATATTTTAATAAAAGTTGGTTGGGAAAATGGTTCAGTGCCTTATGATTTTTCAGACTACCACGATCAGAATCCAGTTATGTCTTACCCCCTCCACTTCTGTCCCTCTGGACCCCGCAGCTGTCACCATTCTCCAGAAGTTCTGTAAAAACCTCCTCCCTGGGCTCCATGCTTCCTCTCCTGCCTCCAGCCAGGGTCCCCCTACTGTCCTGTCCCAGCACAGCACCAGATGGATCCTCCGAGAACAAGTCAGCACATGTCACTTCTCTGCTCTCAACTCTCGTATCATTTAGATTAAAACCAAAGTCCTTCCAGGGTCATATAGATACGGAGCCCCATGATTTTTCCTAGACACCTCTGTGATCTTACTCTTTACTCTCCTTTGGCTCACCACATTCTGGCCCCACTCGCTTCTGTTTCCTCTAACCTGCCGGGCTTTCTCCTGCCTCCCTAAGTACCCACCTGAATCATTTTCTTTACCCTCTTCACCCAAAGAATTTTGCTTCTACATCACCTTCTCAGTGAGGGCTCCAACTTTCCTTAATAATACAACCCCTGCTCCCAATATGGCACTCTCCCAGTCCGTTTTATGTTTGACTGTTTTCTATAGTATTTTTTCATACCATCTGGCATACTGTACCACTTATTTATGTTTATTGTTTGTCCCCCAACTCAAATGTAGTCTGAGGACAGGGATGATTATTTGTTCACTGCTGAGTCTCCAGTACCCAGAGCAGTGCCGCGTACAAATAATAAATGTTTGTTCAAAGAGCAAATCAGAGTTCCTTTTATAAAGTCATAGTTATGCAAAAATATCCTAAGGATCATCTCATTTATTTGAATCCCCATTTCCCATGTTTTCTGTTAAATTTTAAATTTTTGCTCATGTTCCAACTAATTATGAATTATTAAAATAGTAACTGGTGAAGTCTGACAGTTGGAGTGAATGGACAAATTAGCAATAAAACAGTCATTTCTTGATCAAGCCCCTTCTAGTGCATTTGTTGCAGTCACATCCCTCCCCATCCGTACCGTCCGTTGCCAACAGGATGCCAGGATGTCTGACAAGCCCACAGGACTCTGCCTGCTGTTCTTGCTATCTAGCTGTACCTGGGGCTGGGGTCAGCTGATTTCCTAAACTCATGACCACCTTGTGGTTCTTTTATTTGTTTCTACTACTTTTTTACACTAAACATTTTGATCTACCTGGCATTTGTTTACTTGCATACCCATACCTACAATGAGACTAAGACTCTTTTCTAAGACTTTTTTGCCAAAAATGTAATTTGTTGAATAAGCCATACTTTATCTCAGAGTTTTGTCACTATTATGTGTGCATATGTATCTATACGTGTGTGTATACACATGTACACCTGTAGACACCTATAGACAGAGATAGGGACGCACATATATGTACACACATGTTCCTGGATATTCTGGTTTGTTCTTCTGCATAGGTCTTATCCCTGCACATTACACAGTATATATAGTTTTTGTAAAAATTTGATCATATACCACTCTAATTTAAAGCCCCTTAGTTGTCCATTTTCTTTGGGATAAGTCTGAATAAAGTTCAAACTAATTTATAAGGCAAATAGGCCTTCTAGGTTGCTTTATATATATGTATATATTAATATATTCATATTTGTTACGGCTAAGCTCATTATTCTTTTAAAATGGTGTTGGCTGATTTTACCCATTTATTCAGATGAACTTGAAAATGGGATTGTGATTGGCATTGGAATATATTTTTAGGTTGATTTGGCTGAAATTGGCATCTTTGCAGTTTTTTTTAGTCTACTCAGTGCCATGGGGGTGGAGGTGTTCTCCTCATATGTTCCAGGCTCTGCTAGGTCTCTAGTCAGCCCTGTGCTATCTTCCCTCCTGCCTCTGCCCCCGGGGTCTTCTGCCTCAGGCAAGGCCACACTGTGTCCCCATCACCTCCTTACCTTGTCCGAGGTCTGGACCCCTATGAAGAATCTTGGACAAGTCTGTGGGGCCTCCGTTTCTCCAGAGCAGCGGCACATCTCCCTGAGCCACACAGCATCTGTGCTTCTTTCCTCTGCTCTCTGCTGGGTCAGTTTCACTGAAGGCTCAGCCTGTTTCCTGTAGTCCTTGCACTTTCTGGATTTTATCTTTAGGAATCAAACATCTGGTTAAACTTAGCTAACTCTTAGAGATTTTTCATTTCATAATAATATTGCTGCCTGAAGATGTACTCAAGATTGGTGTTCATCTTTTGTTTATTAATGGGAGAAAATGTACCTTTTCCTAAAACCAGTGCTTCTTAAACTTTAATGTGAATAGAAATCACCTGGGGATCTTAGTAAAAAAAATTTGACTCAGTAGGTCTGGGGTGGGGCCCAAGATTCTGCATTTCTAACAAGTTCCCAGGGAATGCCAGTGCATCTAATCTTTGTGGACCATCTTTTGAGTAATAGGATTTTAGGAAACATGATCCATGACCACTGGCTTACCCTGTGGCTTTGGCTTCCACATCTGTAAATTGAAGGTGTAGAATTACAGAATTAGATCTCAATCTGGAAGGGACTTAGTTATCTAAACCAATCAATAATACATGATCCTGTTTATAAGATCCATGCAGTCAGGGTTCATCACATTTTTGAAACAAACATGAATGGAATCATATGTACTGTTCTGCAACTTGTTTTTCTCATTTGATGATATGTCACATGGAGAATCAACAAACTTGATATAATTCTTTGTAACCAGTTGATAGTATTCCATTTATGTGACTGCAGCATAATCTGATTAACACACTCCTTTTGGTGGAAATTTAGACTTTTTCAGGTTTTTTAACATTACAAGCAATGCTGGATTCCAGTACATATGTCCTTTTGCACATGTGCAAGCATATTCATTGGCTAGATTCCAGATGTGGATTTACAACAGAGTATGCATGTTTTAAATTTTGATAGATACAAATTACCCTCTTAATAGATTTTAGCAGTGTATAATTCTACCAGTAATATATGAGAGTGCCCATTTTCTGATATCTTCACCAACACTGCACATTATCAATTTTGTATTTCTTCTGTGAAGTTTCTTTCATATCCATTGCCTTGCTGCTGTTTTTCCATTGTGATGTTTGTCTTTTTCTTACTAACTTCTAGGAGCTCTTTATGTATTCTGGATTCTATAATCTTTGGTTATATATGTTGTAGCTATTTCCTCCCAGTTGTGTTCTGCTTCCTAGTTTGTTTTTTAAGATTTTTTATTTGTTTGGGAGAGAGAGTGCGCACGCGAGCGTTTCGTTGGGCGCATGCATGAGTGGGGGGAGGGGCAGAGGGAGAAGCAGACTCCCCGCTGAGCAGGGAGCCCCACTCAGGGCCTGATCCCAGGGCCGCAAGATCATGACCTGAGCTGAAGGCAGATGCTTAACCAACTGAGCCACCCAGGCACCCTTCTACTTCCTAGTTTTGACTTTTTTTTTAATCCTTAAAATTTGGGTGTAATTATACCCGTCTGTGAAGTTTTTTAGTAAGAATGAAATATTATAAAGTACCTAGCAGAATGCCTGACATAGTAAATGTTAGTTTCTGAATAGCTTATGTATGTTACATTTTGTTATTACTGTAATTCTCACCTAACTTCCTCTCATCCCTGAAGCTTACTGTTAGTAGTTTCGCATTTGGCCTCAGCTTGCATCAGGAACTCACCATGTTCTTCCTGCTTACCTTTTCTCAGGGACATTGAATACTAACTCTCACTACAGCCCCTCCTTCCCAGATGATCCTGGTTGGTTTTGTCTCTTCTAACAACTCCCTGCCAGGACATACCTGAAGTTTCTGCACCACATTTGTCTTGCTTTATCTGCATTATGAAGCAATTTTAGGGAAAACATCCTTCTTGAGTGATAAAGAGATTAATAGGAAAAGATAATAATCACTTAGTGAAACAGCGTCTTTCACCTTAACTCTTCACTCTTAAATGCTGTTTGGGACTTGGCATTGTTTAGGACTTGCAAAGTCTGATAGGCCAGAGTGTGGTGACTCTTCAGAGAGAAAAGGGAAGGTTACTAAGGATAGCAGTGCTGGGCATGTCTTACAGCATGTTGATGAGCCCTGTACAGAAAGTCAGGGACTCACTCCTGGAAAAAACTGCTAGTCTTTTGGGGAAATGGAATATAATTTCTGAAATTTTATTTAAAAGGCTAGCAATACGTTTGTTTTAATCATTTCTTCCCTTAATATTCTTTCAAAGTATACCTTTTAAAAAACTGCTTGCTCTAGGATGTTAGATTTATCCTGGCTAATTTACACCTTTTATGTATTTTTTCCCATTTTGAAGAGGCATGCAGTGTTGAATTCATATATACATAATTTTAAAGTATATAGTTCATTGTTTATAATCATGTTACAATTAAAATAATGTTCATGTTTAATAAGTAGCTCAACACTGAAAAATCAAGATTTGGGAATGATTTTTTTCTTTAATATGAATGGTTAAACTGTTAAAACTTAGTGGGTTTACAACTGAATCTACTCAATAGTTTAAAATGTGTTCATTGATTGACTCATGAAACATTTTTTTGAAAAGCTGCTTTGTGCCATTTCTGGGCCTTAGTTATTAAGACTGTACATATGAATAAAGAACTCAAGGAGTTCATATTCTCATGCTGTTAAAATAGATGGAGACTAAAAATCTGAGCAATATGAAGAACCTCATCTAAAACAGAAAACGGACCCCTTACATGTTGGGGCAAAGTGCATACCCCTTTCAGAGCTTTGAGATCCTTAAACAGTGTTCCCTTCATGGGTAGTAGAAGGGCAAGGTAAGCGAGATTAATCACTGGCAGGGGTGGAAGAAAGAGGGTTACCCCTCCTGGATTGAAGAGGTGAGGGTTTTCCCAGGAATTACTATCCAAAGAAGAGATGGAAAGGATAGCCACCATTTTGGTAAATATTTGCAGGATATTAACAAAACTGATATTTAGATACTAAAGTTGTCTCAGGCTACATTTTACCAGTCACTAAGTTATTAAAATCTTTAAAAAAAAAAAGAAAAAAAAAAACCAACTACCATAGTTTGGAAAGTGTTTACTTAAAATTATCATGTTGACTCATGTTTGACGTTAAAATAGTTTAAATCAGTTTTAAATATGTATCCAGTTGTGGATGCCTCTTATCTGATGAGTTCATCTCCTCCGCAGTTTCGGTGTCTGAACTGCTCAGCTTCGCAAGTCTGCTCTCAGGATGGCCCTTTGTATCAGGTAAGAGGCACTCACGACTGTACATATGCCCCTCCTGACGCCTGCCAAGGTGGTGATTGCTTTCATCCCAAACCCGAGTTTCCAAGACCTGCAACTTTGCAAAACCAATATTTATCTGAGCTACAAAACTTCATTTTTCAATTTATGTCCCAGAGTTTCCCATTATTTTGGTTCTCTTGCATTTATCTATTTAATTTCACTGAATTAAAAATGAAATTATAAATGTTAAGGCCATTATTTAGGAGTCAGATATTTTTAATAATTCCTAGTTTCAGCCCTTGAGAAATCTGCTCCATATTGGATCTCTGCTCCATACTCAGCACTTCCTTACGTAAGTTTTTGTGTGTGTGTTTTTTTTTAATCCGTCAGTCACCCACAAGTGAAAGATAAAATGCCAGATTAGGGGAAGCTCTGTTAGGGCAACAGCCCAATGGAACTGTCAGCTTGCTGACTAGGCCCCGCCCTGAGTGCTCTACTTGGGTTACCTCTTTTAATGCAGAAATGAGAGTGGACTAATTTTAAAATGCACTGAGAAAACTTTCCTCTGATCCATTTTCCAGTTACCTAATAAAAGTACATTTTAATTGGGATGATAAATTATAGTGATGCTTCTGCCTTGAACTATAACTCATACATACATGGTTTTTTGCTTTCACTCTTGGCACTGGTCTCTGTTTCCTTAGAAATAAAGATGTTCATAAACTCTGATCTAAAATATTAGAGAACAGTTGGAGTAAGATCAGATTTTTAAAAATTCTCACAAATTCCTTTTTCTTTCTTCAACACTTCATTATGGATTTTAGTCCTGTCACAGAGTTGAACTTATAATTAATAGTAAATTCAGCTAGAAATTTTCAGGGAAAAAGTTATCACTTTATTTCAAGAAAACATCATGTATGTAGCTTTATGCTATTTAATTTTTAAATTTAAAAAATTTTTAAATTCCACAAAATGGACAGTTTTCCAGGAAACTACCAGTGGACCAAAATTTACCCATGAAGAAGGAAAATGTAAATCACCAAGTCACGAAAGAAAATAGTAATTAGGAATTACTTCCTCAAAGGATACCTAAATAGTTTTATGGTCATGCTCTCTCAAATTTTCAAGCAATACATTATTCCCATTCTAAATTGTTTTAAATTATTGAAAAAGGTGAAATTCTTCCAAATTCATTTTACAAAAGTAACATAATCATGATACCAAAAACTGACAGAGAACCTCCAACTATAAAACGAGTATCAGTCTCATTTTGAATACAAATACAAAGATGATAAATACACTAAAATCATATACTAAAAGAACAATAAGCCAAGACCAAATAGTATTTTTATCAGAAATGCAAGAATGGCTTAATATTGGGGGAGGGAAGTAATACATATTATATAGTAGAAACATCTTTTATGCACAGAAACACACAAAGTCAAATCAAAACCATCAGTAGATACTGAAAAGCATTTGATAAAATTCATTATTAAGTCCCAATTTTTCCTGCCAACTTATTTTGAAAATTTTCCAAAAAAAAAAAGTTGAAATAATATAAAGGAATATCCTTTACTTTTGCTTAGATTTTTACCAGTTAACATTTTGCTACATTTTCTGCCCCTTTGTCCCTTCTCTTCCCTTCTCCTTATTAATCTCTTTATAATTATATTGTTTCTTTGTGAAACCATTTGAAAGTAAATTGCAAGTATCAAAACAGTTGACCACTAAATATTTCAGCATTTCAAAGACTTCCTCAGAAGTAACCAAAATACCACGTCACACACAAGAAATTTAAATAGTATATGAGATACTATAGAGATGTCCTTTCTCCCCATAAATAAATTACGGAGTTTGGTGTAGTTCCAGGCACACTTTTACCAGATTCTTGTTTAACTTAACAGAATCAGTCATTCTAAAGTTCATCAGGAAGTATAAACCAGTGCTTCTGGTCAGTCACATTTTTCAGTGAGTAATCAGGGTGCACGTGCACTGCAACATGCTAAAATGTATCTTAAAGCTGAAGTAATTAAAAGAGGTACTGACTTAAACACAGACATATGAATAAAAAGAATAGATCAGGAACAGACTGTCTAGTATGTATGAATCTATAAAGAGTATTTCAAGTTAGTGGAAGAAAAAATGATTCATTTAGCAAATACCGACTGAGCACTTAACTATACACTGGGCACTCTTTTAGGCGCTGGGGACACAGAAGTAAAAATGAGCAAAATTCTTTCTCATAGAGCTTATGCTCTTAAGATAGTGACAGATGAAAAATAAATTTGTAGTGTTAAAAGAAAAAGTAAATAGAATATTTTAGATAAGAGAGCCAAGGGAAGGCTTCTTTGAGGTGGTGATTCTTGATCAAAAGGAAGTGGGAGAACTGGCCGTGTGTGTGTCTGGGGTCGGGTGCTTCAGAAGAAGGGGACACAGGGAAGACCCGGAGGAGTGGTTATGTCTGGTTGCTTGAGGGTTGCAAGAAGGCCGGTGAGGCAAGACTAGAGACAGCAGCTGGCGGTTGGCAGGGGTCATCAGTGAACTCAGAGTATAGATGTTGGGGGGTAGGGTGTGATCTAGTCCGTTTGTTTCCAATAAATTTTACTGCGACTTTTGGTGGTAGGGATGGAAATTTAGTCCATACCCCATGTTACAGGAGATTGTCATGGCTTAAAGTGGTAAATATTAAAATTGATACCATCAGAGATGAAGAAGAAAGATAGTTGAATAATCTCAGAGTGGGGATGGCCTTTCTCATTGTACATGTAAGAGGAAACAAAGACAAACCAAGTTGACTGTTAATATTGAAAAGTACATGGCAAAAATACCATAACTGAGGAAATATTTGCCATATATGACAGTAAGATTTAATATCCTTAATACATGAAGAATTCATACAAATCTGTAAGACAGAGTTCACCTTTCCTTAGAAAAATGAACAAAAAAAATGAACAAAAGACATGCTTAGGAAAGTCACAAAAGGAAACAAAACTAATTATCATACAAAAATGGTTAATTTCTTTAGAAGAAATAAAATACTATTTTATGCTTATTAAATTGCCATATTAGGAGGGAAGAAAGGATAGTACTCATTATTGATGAGGCCATTGAAGAATGAGCACTCATATTTCTTTTGGAAATGTAAAGAGAGAGTAACTTTCTTGAAGCCCAGTGTGACAGTATTTTTCAGAAAGCCTTCAAAAATGTGTATGCTGTTTGAACTAACAGGTCCACTTCTAGGAACCAGCCCTGATCATTGGGTCAAGATTAATTTATAATCACACACACACACACAAAAGGAATAAACTAAAACATATGACAAAAGATTTATTGATAACTTATAATTCTTTTCTATAAAAGCATTATATTCATCCTTTAAAAATATCACATAGGATATTAAGTAGTGTAGAAATAAGTCACGGAGGGGCACCTGGGTGGCTCAGTCGTTAAGCATCTGCTTTCGGCTCAGGTCATGATCCCAGGGTCCTGGGATCGAGCCCCACATCGGGCTCCCTGCTCGGCGGGAAGCCTGCTTCTCCCTCTGCCTCTCCCCCTGCTTGTGTTCCCCCTCTCTCTGTGTCTCTGTCAAATAAATAAATAAAATCTTAAAAAAAAAAAGAAGTCATGGAATTTTTTAATGGAAATTAAAATTTTACGTGGACAAAATTATTTTCCAAACAATATGTATAGCATGATTACAGTCTTGAAAAAACATACGTATCTAGATAAAAAGACTAGAAGGATATACACCAAAATAATTATGGTAGTTATCTTTGAATGGTGGTATTTAAATGATTCTGCTTTTTTCTTGGTGCTTTTCTGTATTTTCCAAATACTTTTATGATAAAGATTTTTTAAGAAAAACAGTACATCAATGAAGGTCAGCATTTTCTAAAGTTATCACATTTGAAATATATACTGTGGAAATATCTATTTTTTATTTTAGGACATGATGAGACTGAGGACTAGCAACTCTACAAGTAGGTCCATTCAGGACAGTCACTGAACACTAGGAGGGTGATGTGCCATATTTCATGATAGTACGTGCAGCGCCATTTTACTACAGAAAGCGAACTGAAATACAGATAGAGTTGCCAGCATTTGAAAACATTTCAGTAAGATTAAACTTTATGTGTCATCATAGAACCAAACACAAATCGTTATTTGGAGAAAACAAAACCAACTGGTTTTCAGCCAAAACCAGAAGATCCTGACCACTGACAAGCCATTTTACTTCCCGGTCTGCCTTCATCCCAGTAGAAATCGGTGATGGATTCTTCTATATATTATGAAGGGATTCTAGAACTAGTGACTTAATTATGTGCCTAAAGTATGCAGATTCAGCAGTTCAGAACGGAGACCACAGCTAGGAAGACAGTTGTGACAGGGGGCAAGCTGCCACTTGGGCCAGGGAGAATGGGAAGTAACGAAGTTAGGGTAGGATGTCTGGGCAGCAGTCTCCACGTCTGGCTGAGCTTCAGAAAACCCAGGGAGTTTTTTCTATAAAATGCAGATTCCTGTGCCACTCCCAGACACTCTCATTCAGAAGGAATAAAGTTTAAATAAAAACAAGTAAAATTTAAACCAAAATACATTTAGACCATGGAAATCTTTTTTTTTTTTATAAAGACTTTATTTATTTGAGAGAGAGAGAGAGAGCACAAGAGGGGGGAGGGTCAGAGGGAGAAGCAGACTCCCCGCTGAGCAGGGAGCCCGATGTGGGACTCGATCCCGAGACTCCAGGATCATGATCTGAGCCGAAGGCAGACGCTTAACCGACTGAAGCCACCCAGGTGCCCTAGACCATGGAAATCTTGACAGACTGTGACTTTTACTCCAGCCCTCAGGACTGGTGGTGGCATCACCTTACATCCTCAGCTGGAAAGGGCAAGACCTAGAAATTTTCATTCCCATCCTCCAGTCCCATCCTGAGCTAAATGGGAAAAGACTCCAACGACAAGTCTTCTCGTATATAACAGAGCTATGATGAGTACAGAAATGGTCGTATCATCTCTCTCACCGGTATGAAAAAGTACACCATTTTCTGTCCTGGAGTTGTCCGTTCACCGACAACGGAGATGAAGGGGAACCGTCAGTGACAGTCCACTTTCTTGGTTTCATAAAAGTTGCTCCTCGGAATTTCATTTAAAAGGGAATCTGCAGCTTTCAGAAAAGGAAAACCGTTGGTTCTCCAGACCTTTCTGACTCTGTGGTGTTTAGGTTCTAAATGATCCAGTCAAACCTCGGAGGAAACAGATACAGAGGTGGCCGTGTGGCACATGCCTCTCGTGCGCAGGAAGGACAGGCTACCTGTTCCAGAGTCAGAGCAACCAGGGACCACCCGAACCTTTCAGTTAGAGAAGATTCCACTCTGAATAGGTAGTCGTATCAACGAACTATTGAGAGGAGGCAGCAACCTAAATGTTCCATGTAACAGCTGCTTGTTTTTCAGGTTTTTTTAAGGACCATTGAAGTTTAAATGTTAAAAAGAAAAAGGTGTCAAACTTTTAAAAAAAATGTGAGTTGTGAAAACTACCCCAGTTTCATTGATTCATAGCAAGAGGTCGGTTACCTTGTGAGTCAGTGGGCGGTCACAGACAGTGGCTCTGGATGGAATCCAGCCCCACAAGGTTAACAATTGATGGAATGAATGCCTTGATCCAGAGCCCAAAGCCTTCAGTCCTCCCCCGGCCCTGCCCCTCCCTACGTGTTCCATTAGTAACGTTCACCTACCCAGCCGGTGTGACATCAGTGAGCCTTTGAACTTGACCTTTGTTACATAGTACAGAAAACCTGATTCTGAAAAAATGGCAATTTAAAAATAATTTTAATAACTAGTCTTTACTTGTCATAATCACTGGTACCAGGAAATATTGTAAAGTATAACCCTGCATTCTAAAAATCTTTTATATATAATCTTGATTATTTTCATATAAACACAGTCTTATTCATCATGTTTTTATTTTATAGTCCTACCCCATGGTATTGCAGTATCGACCAAGAATTGATTTCGGTTAGACCAAGGGGCCTAGATCCCACGGAGATGAATCCTGCACTTTGTTTACTCATCAACAGATCGCACAGTGAACGGTGTGTGGACGAGAGGGACACATCCAGATTTTCAGCATGCAAATAAGGCCATTGTCTGTCTCTAAATTGTCAGTTGCATTTATGTTGTTTCTATTAAGAGTGAACCAAGTGCCATTCTGCTACTGAACCATCCGCATAAGGTATCTGTGCCGTCTCACGGTGTACAAGTCAGGGCTGAAATCAGCCTGCCGCATATCTTGCTTGCCTGTTCCGAGACTGTTCTGATGTGTGATTACACTCGTACTATGACTCAATCTGTGTGGTGTTGCAGTTTTCACATACTTAATATTTTATTAATTTTTGTTTAGAGTACTGTACAAGAAATAATTATTGTATCCTGAAGTTATTTTCTATGGGAAAGTATTTAGAAGAGTGGTTTTTGGGCCACTGTCCTGTTCTCAGTAAGCTTTTTGTGTGCAAAATAGTTCACTCTTGAGCGTGGAAGTCTTTGGGGGAAGAATTCCAACTATTCTTACCATTAGAGCACATAATAGCTGTAGACATTTTAAGCCCTCCGGCCGTGTAGTCTACCAGTTGCACAAGGAGGTCATCTTAGCCCTCCAGTTGAAACTGTGTGTGACTTCGTGGAGACCTGAAGTTCGATTCACAACCATTCAAGATGTTGACAGCTGGTCACATTTACTCTAACAAAATTAATGCATCAGTAAGGTCAGTCTTTCATAATGCCTTAGGACAAGCAGGTGCTGCTTCACGAAATGTCACTGTGTAGCCCATTTTATGTATGCATCATTATATTGTGGCTCCCATCTAATGAGTACAGTGTCTCTCTTTTTAAGTTGGCCTTAGGTGTGTGTCATTGTGGCATGCAGAGGGTTATGATGATTTTAAATATTAGGATTTTTAGAGCAGATAACCTTAGCTATTTTATGGATTTCAGAAGTCTCAAGGCAATTATCAATTAAAACCTGTTAGTTACCTATCACATGTCCAAACCCTATGCGTAAAGTAGAATAAATGCAGCGTAGTAGGTAAATCTGTTAACCAAAATTAATGATTTGAGGATATCTCATTTTAGATCCTGTAGTAATCAGGGGGAAACGGATTCTGGTTTTATACATAAATTCATTAAGGTCAGAGCTGTGATAATGTCCTTGATTTTGCAGTTTTGTTAAGTCTTCCATTCATTTTGAGATTAGTCTGCAAGTCAAAGAAAGTCTTGTTACCTTAAATTATATGAAGAACTTCATTTTAAACCTTTTAAAATTTACAATTGTTTTCAAAAAACTTCTTTGGAAATTAAGTTTTATTAATTGCTTCAAAATAAACAAGTTAACCTCTGAAACTTAGGAAAAATCTTGAAAGTTAGGAAAACTCTGTTTTAGAAATCTGACACGAGCACAATCTGTGTGTTACACACACAGTTTTTATACTGTATACATTGTAGATGTGATACATTTTCCAGTAAAATGTATCACGGATTAATGCCTTCTGAATCTCAAAATGCTTCTTAGACATAACATTGTACAATTCTAAAAAACACATACAAAATACAGCTAAATCTTGATGCATTTCACAACATAAAAGGCTGAAACTTCATAATTATCTCTTCAATATGTCTGTTTCAAGTTAGAGCATCTGTATTAAAGTCTTCTATTGTTTTTGTTTTGACTTTTGTGAAAAAGGTTATGGCAATGCTTTCTGAATTTCATTTTGTTAGATCGTGTTTGTGCCTGGAAGGACTCACAGGCAGAATTTAAAAGGCAGATTTTTGTTAACTCTTTAAAAATGGTTAGAACAGACCATTATACTCAACCAAAAACAGAATTTACTCTCCACCTACAGAAATTATTTTGCTGTGCTGTGAAATCCAATTCCCTGACATCCCTAAGAAATTTTAAAATTATGAATCTGTCACATCTTGGTCAGTGATTAAAATAGTGTTTTACGTATGGAAGTTAATTAACTCAAAATGAATTGAGAGTGATTTTAAAAACCACAAATGAGACCTGCATGTTATTTGGGTCCCCAGCCAAAACTTACAGCTTTAAATGAGTTTTGTATACCTGATCTCTTTAAATTTGGCCTGTTGCTGCCTCATCTCATGTAATTTCACTCTTTTCCAAGGAAATATATAGGAAGCAATTATGGGATTGAGAATAGTTTTATATAAAATTGCTTTATTCAATGTTAACATTTTTCCTGAAATGCAATGGAATATGTGCCAAAACATGTGAAAGAAAACCTAACATAAAGAAGAGCATCAGTTACCAGTTAGGGAAAGGTACACATTTTATGATGGTCCTGAGTAATACAGTGTTACTATTAAGAACCATAGACTTCTTTGACTGCCTCGTTTGGTATATTCAACTATGATTTTCTAAGTACGGGACTACTTTCATGTCTAGCAATACACTAAATATCCCCTAAGTCAGATTGTGGAATTTGCAAGAAAACAGACACAGAAAAAATATACAGGCAACTTTTGTGGTTAGTTTTATAAGCTTAGGGTGCTAATAAAACTATATAAATAACCTGTAGAAATCATCATCTGAATCTGCAAAATTGGGGAATCAAACTAAATTTTAATCTCTTGTTTCTTAAGCAAAGAACCAAAAGAACTTTACTTCCATAGAAGACTTTGTCATCTGTTTTCTCTGCCTTAGATATCAGAGATGTGAGAGGTCAAGGAACCTGGGATATAAGGAAGGACTGTGGCCCATAGATACTTCAGCTGGAGTGATTACATCCTTTAATAGAAAAATCAGAATATAGCCTTTTCTCTAGATTAACAAAACACTTTTAAGAAGTATAAAAAAATAAACTAAAAGGCTCATTGATGAGGAAATATAAGGTCATTCCCTGCACCTGGGGTGCAGGTACCTTGGGTGGTGTCTTTTACTTTTCTAAAGGTGTATTATTTCTTATTCATTGGAAATATGTCCCATACGAATATGCCACATTTTATAAATGTAATGAGTTTGCTCCACTACATTATACACTCAAATTTAATCTAAATTTAAATGACTCTATAAGGTGGAAAAAAAAGTGTGTTATATAATATTGTGAACTGTTTAGCTTTATTGAAATATTTAAGAGAAAGTGCCTCATTGCTAAAGTGCATTTCTGTTTAGATTTATTGCATAAATTTTGGGTTATCTGTACCTGTCTCTTATGAATGGTTTTGTATCTAACTAGGCACTCATAAGTTAGAGTAATCTCTTTTTGAAGGATTTTCATAAGAAATAGAGATCACCAAAGACATTCTACTGTTCATTAATAACCATGGTAAGAGAGACAGTTTTAACACTTTGGAAGTTGGAATCTTTTAGGTTGCAGTTTAATTTTATATAGTTAATAACGCAATAACCTTGAGTAACTGCTAAAATATCACCAAAGAAAGGCTTTAAACTGAATTTTTGTGATGAGATCAATCAAATGTAGGTTTTTCTTGAAATAATCAGAGCACACTTCCTTTCAAATATGTCCCTTGTTTTTCCAGAACCACTTGATAGGTCTTAGGAAATCATCAAAGGTGAGAAAGAGATCAACACCACAATTGGCTTCCCCCTGGATGCGAGGAGGAGAAATGCATCCTTTGAAAAGAAAACTAAAATGAAGATTTTTAAATTCTAATTTGAGAAGCTCTTTAATCCACTTCATGGAGGCCATATAAACTAAAATTATGCTTTAGTTCCTGGGTTCTTAATAACATAAGAAATTTTACTAAAGGCAGACTTTGGTATAAGTGCTGACCATGCTTACATGTATAGAAAAATAATACGTTCTATTGGACTTACATAAGTAAATGCTTTTTCTTGTTTTCAAAAGCAAATTTTTCATAAAGGCCTATTTTTTTTTAAGTAACTCTTTGTCCTGTTTCTCAGTGATTACTTTATTGTGATTAGAATTTAGCCACACAGCCAAACTTCGCAAAAAGGGTCCCAGATCAAGAGCATTTGCATCAAGTGAATCATTGCGCCCCCCCCCTCCCCCGCTCATTCTCCTTGGGAGCTGACACTGGGGCCACCTTGAAGGTAAAGCTCACATGATGCAGTCTCTCTGATAGGCCACTGGACAAAACCTCCTTGGAGACACTCTGTTACATACTCTGGTTTATCGTAAGGAATCTTCCAGCAGCCTAAGCTTTAGACCAGTAAGATGTTGGTTGTAGGAATTGCAAAAATGAATGGGTTTGCCATAACGTAATGTTTTGGATCAGAAACAAAAACATGAAAATGCTCTCAATACTTTAAGAGGTATATCCCTGCACTAAGGAACATAACATGTCTGCCAGATCTGGTCTCTGAAAAATATTAAATGTACCAGAGACTCAGAAACCCCTTTAAAAGCACAAAATAACCAACCAATTCTGGATTTACTTGATATACCTAGTTCTACATGTAGTATTTTGATGGAAAAATGTCAGATTGAAAGTTCATTAAAACGTACTTAAGTATACATTACAAGGTTTTCATGGTTTTCTTTTTCTTAAAGCAAAGGCATTTTCCCAATAATTTAAAATGATTCTCTTCCTCGTGTAATGTAGTCTTCACAAATAGTGTGTTTACTCACTATCCTTACTGTATTTGCAAATAGAATTAAAATGCTTGAGCACTTCCTTTTCAGAAAGTTATGAAATTAAACTTTATTTTAAATGCTCATTCCCGTATGTATACTCATTATGCCCCTTTTTCTAAGATTCAGTACTGAGACATTGTTCAGAAATGCCTTTTACTTTTAATTCTCTTTAGAGAACCAAGTGAAACAGGTGTTAAAATACCGGGTCTAGTTTTCTTCCATCCTTCAGAGCTTCGTGGAGTAAGAAACTTAGTCTAGAACAAATGAAGATTAAATACTTCCGGGCAACATAGAGATAGTGAACAGATCATCTATCCCTAGACTTCCCCTCAGTCCACTGGAGCAGAAGTTCCACACATTAGAAATGTCATGGGATCAGCCTAACATTTTGGGGGGTCAGTTTTCTTTTGCTGTATTTTTTAGAATGGGGATGGGGGCCTAAGTGTCCTTACGAAGCTGTGGCCCACGACAAGAGCTTGTGGGAGAGCGCCAGCCTTCTGTGGCGTTCCTGCATCTGGCAACACAACAGCAAGCACCAGTTTTTAATAGAGCAGCCCTCATGTGACAGAACCATCCTAGAATATATTGTACAGTTATGTTGCTAATTTTCCTTTGAAATATAAAATATTTTAAGCTTTTTTTGTCAAAAGTGGTAACATCTTAATACAAATAAAAACCTTTTTGTGGTTGTAAGATTTAGCTTATAAATCATTCA